CAAAGTTTGCATAATATTCCAGCATATATGTGTATAATGTTTTAAACTTAGTCTCCAATTCTTGAGCATTTAGTTTTTTCTTTCCAATTTTTAAAAATCGTGTTTGGAATGGTCTTTCAAAACATAGATCTACTAAAATCCTTTGGTTTCCATGGCCTTTTGAACATTAAAATTCTCCTGCTGAGGCCAGTCACGACCAGATGCCTGCTACCCCGTCTTCTCAACCCCTCTCCCCACATCCTGGATCCCTCTCCATGGTCCCCTGCTGGCTCCCTCCTGTCCTGCTGGCAGCCCTGGGCTCAGGGAGCCATCCTCCACCTGTGTCAGGTTGGAAGTCATGGCAGGTGCCCTCCTGGTGGCTGCCCTGATCCCAGCCAGGGAGAATAAAGATAAATAAAGAGACCAGAGAAGTGACCGCTCCTCTCCTCTGGCCATCCTTGACCATAGGCAACACCTGCAGCTGTGTCTGGTGACCTGGGGGCAGATATCCTCGATAGCTGGGGACAAGGATGTGCATGGAAAGGTGGAAAGCCTGCCTTTCCTGATAAAGCGCTGAACAAGGGACCCTGTTTGTGGGTCAGTCTCCTCTGGATTTCTTGTGATGTTCCTGTTTGTTTAAGTCACTATTAACTATCACCAAAGGCGTCCGACAGCTACTTCACCCCTCTCTCCCCACAGCCCCAGGCCTGCTCGTGCTGTGACACCCCATCTTTACACCAGGCTCACCCTGCCCACTCTCAGGTGCTCCCAGGACAGCTTTCACCTGCTTGGTCGGAGGTAGCCCTTTCTTCCAGCCCATGTCACTGTACTTGGAACACCAGAGAGTGAGTGAGTACAGGGCCTGGTCCCCGCCTTTGGGATTTTTACACTCAATATGTGCTGTGGACTGACTGTGTTCCCCTGTACATCACATGTGGAGGCCGTAACCCACTATGTGACAATGTTAGGAGATGAGGCCTTCAGGAGGGAATCGGGGTTAGTGGAGGGATGAGTGTCCTCTGAGGAGATACCAGAGTGCCTTCTCTCCTTCTCCTGCCCTGGGGGGACAGGTGAGATCTGTCAGCAGAACATCCCCCACCCCATACTAGGACCAGGTCTTGGACTTCCAACCTCCAAAACTGAGAGGGAAGGCCTGCTCAGCACACGGCAGACTGTTGCTTGACAGGGTGGGGTGGGGTGGGCTCCTGCTGAGGAGTGGAGGGGAGGTGGTGGGCCCCCCTGGCTGGACACCACTGTGGCCTGAGGCAAACAGCTGGACCCTGCTGTGTTCTCCTTGGCTTCTGGTTATTGAGTGTGTGGGGTGGCCCTGGAAAGGTCCCTGGCTGGTGGGTAAGCCTGAATTTCGTATAGATTCCCCTCCCTTGATTAAAGCCTGGTCGTTTTCCCTTCCTGCAAGGGGTGTGGTGGGACTTCTGCCTTGAATGGCCAGCCATTTTTCACCTCTGGAGTTGCTCAGGCCAAGAGCAAGTCAGACGAGGAAAGAGGGCAGGTTCCTGTGACAGCTATGAAGGAACTCAAGGGGCCCCAGCCGGGGGCAGGCTGAGCCTTGACGGAATCTGTGGCCCCAGAGCCTGCACTAGTGTTGCTGGTGCTCCCTGTTGGAAGCATGTAGTGCTGGCTTCGAGGCTCAGCCATCCACACTGAGGGGCACCTGGGCTCCAGAGTCAGAGGTGGGAGTGAAGGGGAGGAGCACAGAAAGGAGAATCAGAGGAGAGCGAGCTCTGAGCTGTGGTGGAGAAAGATTTCAAAACCCACTTCCTCTCTCCCTGCCCTCAGAGGAACTGCTTGACAAACAGGACATCCTGGAAGACAGGAGTGGCCGTGAGCTTTGGGTGATGCTACCACCCCTGGCTTTCCCCTTGGGGAAAAATGATGCCACCTTTCTGATGAACTACCGAATCAAGGGGAAATCACGTTGCTGCCAGTGCAGAGCCAGGCTTGTGGCCAGCACCAGGGGATCCCCCTGGCTGCTCCGAGTACCTCCATATCTAGTAGTAAGATGAAGTCAAAAACGCCAGCAAGACCAGCAAAGGGATCAGGCTCCCTTGGGACAAAGTTGTAGAATTACCTGGCTGGGTTAAATAACCTACCAACCAGGGGCTGGTGGAGGACAAAGGGAACCTGGAGACCAGTACAGAGAAGCCATCCTGTGATCTGTTGCAGAAATAAGGACAGAGGCCTATATTCTCCCTTTCCTGCGGTGTCACATGGAACTTTATATTTCACCTGATTTCTATTTTCTTTTCCCTAAAAGGGGAGCAATTCTCAAGTCCTGACCACAGTTCCCCTTTACACTCTTAAAAATGATTGAGGACCCAAGGTTTTTGAGTTATATCAACATTTACCATGGTAGAAATTAAAGCCAATAACTTTAAAAGTGCTTATTCACTTTAAAACAATAAATACATTAATTTTTTTAAAAAATGAAAATGACCACTTTTCAAAACCAAATCAAACCAAACCAGTGAGTGGAGTGTGACATTATTTTTCCACATTTGCAAACCTTCAATGTTTGGCTTAACAGGAGACATTTATGTGCCCACATCTGCTTCTGCATTTGGTCTCTCGCAGTGCCACCTTGAAGCCTCCCCAAGATGTGTAGTTGGGCAAGGACTTCATAGACTCCCAGGGTCCTAGGGCCATATTTTGGAGGGCATCTTGTGCCATTGTTTTTAATCCATACATTCTAGAAAAAAAAGAAAAAGAAAACCAAGACAAAACTGGAGGAGGAAGAGACATCCCAAACATCCTAGCTCAGGAGTTGGAGGATGTAATCTGTAAGGTGGTTTTGGAATACCTCTGTCCCTCGGGGAAGGGACCAGCCACTGGGTGAGGCTCAGTTGTAAGATGGGAGAGTTTTTTTTTTTTTTTTAGGTGTGCTTGGAAAGAAGGGTGCATGCCAGATAGCCAAGGAGGGGGAGCAGGGGCTTTTGTAACTGTGGTGTCTCAGTGTCTGCAACCCTACCTCCCCCTTCGTGGGCAAATCCTCTACTGCGTGAGTTTGGGTGAGTCCTGCCTCTTCCTCCAGAGCTACAGAAGCAAGAGCTCTTCTCACATCCTGGAGGCTACAGAATGAACATACATCTGAGGCTTACTCCACCATATTCCTGACGGTCCCTAAGGTATGACCTTGACTGTGTTTCCAGCTATACAACTTCCCAAGATCCCTGTGTGCTTGCTGAATTTGACCCCAGCCTTCCTGCCTATCTGTGAATACCTGTGTCCTTGTGGATTCTTTTCTAAGTCAGAGCCCTGGAGAGGGCTGGGGGAAGGCCCGACTCCACTCCGCTCTCCTATATCCCACCACCTGCTGCCTGGCTGCTCTCCCTGCACCTGGCCTTGACTTCCCATGGTACCCAGAATAACCCCGCAGAGAAGCACCTTCATAAAACTGTCCCGCAAGAGCTGCCAAGCCTCACCAATTCACTGAGGAGCCTGAATGCAGGGTCCTCCCCTCACACTTCAGGTCCTCAACAGATTCCTTCAAATGGCAACAACTTAAACATTACTTAAAAATTAAAGAAAATTTGTAAAACAGAAGGCAAGAAAATAATTCATGATCCACCATATGTTTTGTAATTCCTTTAGAATGACCTTGCAACCAAAGAGGTCACAGGTGTGGCTGTGTGTTTTGGCCACCAGAACGCAGACGTAACATAAGTCACATACGTGAGCAGGACATAATACGCTGCACTGTAGAGAAGTAGAATAGACATGAACTATATTTGTGCTTGAAAGGTTTAGCTTAGCCTCCTTGTTTTTCTGCCATGAGAAAGAGGAACACAGCTCAGGGAATGTTGTACCTTCAGCCAGGCCCCAGGTCAGACTCTTGCCTGGAGTGTGGTTGCAGGCCACTGAGGGTCTGGGGTTGTTCAGCAGTAAAAGTTGTTTTGCAGAAGAAACTAGACTGACAGAATTGACATGCTAAGTTCCGTGGAGTCACTGTGCCCTGATCACATAAACCCTCAGGCACAGCTGAGGTTGCACTGACTTCAGATCAACAACAGTTCCACAACCTGTCACTTGGCTGTTTTTATCCAAGTATGGAGACAAGACAAGGGCCTGGCAGGGGACAGCTTAAGGTGGGAAGCTGTCACCACACTTCATGCACTGGCTCGTCCACACCACACACTGTGGGAGAGGAGATGATGACGGCTGGGTGGGAGTAGAGAGGGACCCACCAGGGTTAAGGGACTACGCCAGCTACCAACAAGCCCTTACCCGGAACCTGTAGCCAGGAGGGGCTGGTGATCCCCCTGTAGCCCCCAAACCCCGCCCCCCCCCCCAATTCCTCCAACACCTGCTCCTTCACTGCTCAATTTTAATGATCTTATCAGTTATCTTTGGGGGGCTAAGGGGAACCGAGAGGGGAGCACCTGGCTCCTAAAAACAAAGATGGGCCTCAAGTTCCAGGTAAAGGTCACTGTGAAGCTAGCGGCACCTTCCCACGGGTTTCCCACAGCTGCTCTCAGCTCTTCCCTCTAAGGCACATGGCTGTGATGAGCACCATCTACTCACTGCCATGGGAGGCGAGGCTCGCACTTTCCACATACACTCCCAGTGGGCAGGAGCCACATCCCCACTGCTCTCCATTGTATCCCCAACTGCCCAGCACAGTGACTGGCTCAGTGTAGGTCCTCGTTCCCACATTCAGCTAGCAGGTGTAAACCACCGTGAGAGGGCTATGGGAAGGGGAAATGCTGTTGCAGCCAACACATCCCAGCTGTGGCGTCCTCAGGCCAGCAGGCACTCAGCTCTCTAGGACTGGCTTCTCTGTCACTAGCCATGTGGACTAAGAATATTACTTTAAGATGGGACAAAAATGGTGAATTTAGGTTTATCTTTTTCTTGAAATGGAACAGGTCTGCCTCATAGCTAGAGCAAAGGGTGTAGTTATGTACTCACAACATGGAGAATAGTTTATAGAAAATTTTAAATAAGTTGCTAATAAAAGTGGGTTCCCTGTCGTCTTCTCCCAGTAATTTGAGCACTCCTTTTCATTGCAAACTCCTTTTCAAAGTGTTTATTTGTTCTCAGTCAGAATATCACTTTTGAAGGGTCTGGCTCTACCCTTCTGATTCCCTGGTGTACCACCAGTATCTGAACAAACACTGTACTTTCCTAAAAATAAAACCTGAACTATTGTTTCTCTACGGCTGACAGACCAAAAAGTCTGGACCTTAAAATAAAAGTCATCTTTTGACCATTTTTGGTTAAGGCTACTATCTTCAGCTTTTCAATGACAAGTAATGCTTTATATCACAACAAACTAAAATTCTAACACCCTGAGAAATGGACAACCACTTGCTGACTTTGGTTGTTCCTCAAGAGTTGTTACTACTTGTGGAAAAATTTGAGGTGGTAAACATCAGTATCACTTTATGGCCTGGTACCACACTGTGTCCAAAGGGTGGTGGCTCCTCCCTCTACTAACAGGTACTAAGAGACCTTAAAATTGAATATTCAGGTCCACAGGATTTTCAACTCCTACATTTATACCTAGTACTTTGATATGATCCCACAAGAGGGTACATATGAACATCTTATGCAGTCTTTATGTACATCTGCAATAGACATTTATCTTCACATAGAAACTTAAAAAAATACTTTAACATAATACACTGTACTGCAGAGAACTAGAATATATTACACTGCTAAAATATTCATATAAATACTATATATGCAGATTCACTCCATTAGAAAAATTCGTCTATTACAATATTAAAGACCAGTATCAGCAAAGCCCAAAGAAAAACTATCTTAACAGTGGGGACACTAGAAATAACAACTATGAGGTTTATAAACCAGTGGTGGAAAGAGAATTCTATATATTTGCTATTCTGTCATAACAGGCACAATAATCTGAAATACAATTTTACAGACTAGCAATGTATAAAAATACTTTTTAAACAATACTGTTGACAGGTATACTAGCACTTAAAAACCACCACCACCACCATCAAACAGTTGTGTAGTTATTTCTTTTGAGGACCTACTAAAACAACTTACTGCCCTTGGCTAGCTCTTAAACACCGACCTGGAAAGCAAGTTCTATCACCCATGTGCACACCACACACACACAACCACAGATTAAAACAATCTCCTCTATCTATGGTGCATACTGATGAGTCACTGATCCGCATCAATTTCACAAGGCATGAGCTGATGTGTTTAGAGCCTGTTTCCAGTTCCAGGTTTGGGATGGATGAACAAAGAGGCAAAAGCAAGGTGGAATTTGTGTGTGTGTATATGGTTTCTATTTCACGTAAGGGCCTTGGGTGGAAAAGCGCTTAGTCTGGCATATCAATATTTAACTTGGGGGGTGGAGGAACATATTTTCCAGGGCTCTGTGTTATAACCACCCTGGCCTTCTTTCCAAACATTGGAGCAATTTTTGGAGCTTCTGGACCGGATGTTTCCTCAGCATCTTCGCTATCTTCATGATGGAGATCATATGAAATGTTCCCATATTCTCTTAAAAATGGGAAAATTTCAAGCAGAAACTGACAGAAATCTCTGCGAATACCAAACCACCAATGATTGCCTCCTTTTCGCCTAAACGTTGTAGCCATCAAAGTTATTAACGAGAGCCAAAGGGGGACAAAGATGGAGATGTAAGAGAATGTATTGTGCCCATCCAATCTGTGAACCAGTAGGACCTCAAAAGTGAGCAGAGGCACGACAATCGTTATCCAGCTGATGGCCATGGTGACATGTGTTCTTCGCTGTTCGGCTACCACATCCAGGGATCGCAGGAACAGAAGGGACCAGACGATGTAATACAGGACGACCAGGCAAAGAAACGACATGAGGATCCACAGGGGGACGAACACCACCAGCCACGGCCAGTGGATAATCCTGTCCAGCCTCAAGGCAATAAAGATGAACTGCAGGATGTTGACTGAGCACAAGATCTCTAGCTCCAGCGACCTATCGTGTCGGAAGCCCCAGACGCAGGCGGCCACAGACACCGGGGAGACGAAGAAGAGTGGCATGAAGACCAGCAGCCAGAAGTGGGTCCCTCTCTCCACACGGTCACAGACGAGGACTTCGAACATGAGCAGCAGCAGGTGGATGCCTACTGCGATCAACATGGCTTTGAACTCTACGCAGGCCTCCCCCTCGGTGCGGTAGCGAGGGTTGCGGGCCCAAACGCCAGCGCCCACCGAGGCGCCCGCGATGACCAGGAGCTTCCACAGCCATATGGGGGCGAAGACGGCCCAGTAGCTCCACTGGATGATGCCGTCCAGACGGAGGGGCAGCAGCACGGAGAAGAGCAGCAGGCAGGCGTAGATTAGGAACTTACTCGGGTTGAAGTCCTGGAACAGGCCCCTGGGGTTCATGGCGGAAGCCGCCGTCCACCTGCCCGAGCCTTCTGCTCACGCGGCTCGGCGCCTGCGTCCCTGCAGCTCCCAGGGCCCGCCGCCTCCTTGGCTTGGGCTGCCCCGGCTCTAGGTGGACATCGGCGGGGGCCAGCCAGGAGGAGGCTCTGAGCCGCGGCACGGAGACCGGAACACGTGCGCACGCGGTCACGTGACCTGGCCGGAAGCGCGCTGGGGCACGGCGTGCGCGGGCCCGGGGCTGCGCGGCGTCTACGAGGGGGGCGCTGCCTCGGCCCCGCCGCCAGCTGGGTGGGGGCCCGCTCTGTTCGCTTTCATTCCGCACCCATCAGGGAAGGCACCTGCTGCGTGCAGCGCCCGGAGGGGCCGGGAGCGCTACCGAGTCCTCACCTGGCGCGTAGGCAGCGACCGGGCCGCGACCTCAGGCGGACGCTTCCTGGCGGCGGCCGGAACGAGGAGGCGGGATTGAGCTCATATCCTCCCAGCCGGCTCGGGGGCGGGGCGGGGGCGGAGCCCGGAGAGGGCAGGGGCGGGGCCTGGAGGCGCCGTCGTCTCCGTGCTCCTCTCTCGCCTGCAGCTCGCTGCCTCTCTCCCAGTACAAATCTGGGGGCTCTGCTTCCCGCGGCGAAGCTCCGGTCCCAGTGCGCGGAGTAGGGAACGGCATGGACACGAGCAAAGGCGGGGGCCGGCGAGTGTGAGCAAGGGAGTGGGTGCCGGTGACCGTATGACTGCCGAGGACGCATGTACACTTGTGAAGACCAGTGTGGGCCAGCGCGGGTCTGTGTGGACCTTAGCGCGAGACAGTGGATTTGACCCAGGACTCGGGAGGGAGGCCCAAGTGTGCAATCAGTTCATGGGGTAAGGTGGCTCCCAGGGTAGAGCTCCACCTGACTGGGCAACAAACATTCTCAAGTGAAGTGGCTGTGCCGAGTGGCTAGGCTGCGGCGATCTTTTACCCGTCCTTTACACCCCAGGAGTGGAGAGCGGGTGCAGGTGAGGGTGCTAGGATTCTACAGGACCCAAAGCAACGTCCTGAGGGAGCAGGTGAGGAAACTGGTCCTGGATAGGGATTCTTTTTCCTCTAAGTCACTGCAACAGATTAGCAGCAAAGTTGCAATTTAGATTCAAGGCTCCCAACTTCCAAGTCCCTAAACCTCATTTTGACTCCTGCCTGGGAATGATTCTTGAAGAATTGTGTTGGGGAAAGGGCACCAAACCAGAGGTCAAGAAATTTGGTTCTGGTCCAGGCCAGCTACTCACCAGTTGTAAAACCTATGCAGATTGACCCCTATTTTTCTGGGCTTAAGATTCCTTGTCTGTGAAGTTGGGGACTGATCAGTAAGGGCTACAAAGCTGCAATCGGTCTTTGATTTGGAGCACCTCTTTCTCTCTCTTTTTTTTTAGAGAGAGAGAGAGAGAATTTTTTAATATTTATTTTTTAGTTCTCGGCGGACACAACATCTTTGTATGTGGTGCTGAGGATCGAACCCGGGCCGCACACATGCCAAGCGAGCGGGCTACCGCTTGAGCCACATCCCCAGCCCCCCTCTTTCTCTCTTGACCACTCATCACCCCCATCCGGGCCTCCAAGGATTTCTACCTCCTTTTCTCTTTGCCCCCCTGCTCAGCAGAACTCTGGTTGGCCTTCCTGCCTTTCAGCCCCCACTGGTCTCACCTGGTCTGGTTCCCAGAAGTGGGTGTGGGATGCCAATACAAAAGTCCTGGACTCTGAGGTGGGGGAAGTCATCAGAGGAATGCATGGGCCATCAGAGTCTCTGTGGAGTAGCAAGGAAGACCTTTCAGGGGGAAACAGGATACTTTCCTGCACCCTCACAGCCCCAGCTTCCAGCTCATCCACAGGGATGTGGGAATCAAGATCCAGACCCAGCAGATAGCTTTCTCTGGACATGGCAGGCATCTGTAGAATGCACATGAAGCACCAAGTGGAAAGACCAGTCCAAGTGCTCAAAGGTCTCCCACAATTCACCTGCTCCCACCTCTAGCAGGGGCAGTCAGGTGGCCCTGGAGGAATAACTCCTAGCTGAGTGAGCATCAGTTCTGAACACTGATTTCCAAAGAGCCTCTGGGAAGTCACTGTGGGGACATTCAGCTAAGTTGAGCCTGGCCTTTCTCCCTGAGCCCTCTCCTTAACCAGAGCCAGAGCCACTATAATCATTTTGCATAGTGGCTTTTTGGTACTCTTTCAAGAAAGATCTGTCAGCTGAAACAAATTTTTTAAAAATTGAAACCCCAACATCACTCCCAACTTCCTCTTCATCTGTAAGATGGGCTAATTAAAGCTTGTAGGGTTGTTTTGAGGATTAGATGAACCCACACATGAAACTTTGCATTTTGCATTTAGAGAAATGAGAGTGATGAATATTACCACATGGAGGAAAATAGAGCCTGTGGAGGGGAAGAACCTGCTGGCAGCAACCCCGCCCCCCAGGAGGTGATGGCTGAGCCAGGTCCAGGTCCGATGGTGAGAACAGTTGGAAATCCTCCCCGATTTGTACAGTCAGGTGACCTCAGGGCCTCTGTGCCAACTTAATGACAAAGAGAGTTTGGAGTGTTTCCCCATCTTTTTTCTTTTTAACTTTATTGTTTATTTTTATGTGTGCTGAGGATCGAACCCAGGGCTTTGCACATGTGAGGCAAGCGCTCTACCACTGAGCCATAACCCCAGCCTGTTTCCCCATCTTTCATGTTCTTCATTTAGAACAAGTGCATGATTTCTTCCTTCCAAGACAGGAGTGTTGAGGTGTCCAGTCATAGTTCAGTGTGCCCCTGCTGCCTAGCTCCTGAGGGAAGTCAGAGCTGGCTTCCAGGTTTGTGACAAGGGATACTGTCTGTTGTCATCCTGTAGCTGGTGTTCCGGGACCGCAGGCTCTACTCTGTACCTCAGACTTGCCCCTGTGCTGTTTTTTTCCTGAGATAGCTGGTCTCTCAGTGACCTGCCTTGTCTTTATTTACCTTTAAAGCTAACATGGATTGTTTACCATATGCCAGGAGCTCAATGGCACAGCCACCCTCAAGGCTGGCACACACACCAAAGCCAAGTTTGTCCAGTTACAGAGAGGTTTCTGGATGTGATGCTTCAGGTTACCATTGCAGGCATGTCTTGCATGAGTTGAGATACATGGTGGTTAGGGAGTGCAGAGGGTGTGAAGGTCACTGTCCTGAGATGTGTTCCTCCTCCCCTAGCATCTCTCCCTTGCTTGGCATCCTCAGTCCCAGCCGCCCTGTGACCTCTGAGGTCCTCCTAATCTCACCCAGGTCCACTGCTGATCAATGCCCCATTTCATGGTCTGTATCAGCTAAGCCAACCTGTCATTCCCTTGAATATCCATGTGTGATCTCCCCATCCATTGGCCCCGTTGTTCTCCCTGGAAGGGCCTACCCCATGTAGCTACTCTTTCTTCCTGGACTGCCAAGATCCAAGACAGGCCTGCCAGTCCTTGGGAACTTTCTCTACCCCTTACAGACCAGTGACCCTGGTCTCCCACACTTCCACCTCTCCTTGCAGCGGCCTCCTCCTGTCTCTCTGCCTCCCCATCACCAGCATGCACCCTCCCACACTCACTGCAGAGGAGGCTGTGGAGCCTTGGGAGATAAGGTCCAGTTACAGGCCTCACTTCACTGGGGTTGTGTTTGATTGACTCCATGAACTTTGAACTCTAGATCCCTGCTGGCACTTATGTCATATGGATGTTTGAGAAATGTTGGTTGAGTGAATGGCTGAGTGAGTTCAACCTGTCATGGCTCTCTTCTCACTACTATGTGCCTGGCCCTGTGCCCTTCCCTCCCTGTCCAGGGAGAGCTTTCTGTAGTAGCTCATGTATGAGTTATTATTACTGCTGAAACAAATTGCCACACCCTTAGTGGTTTAAAGCAACATCTGTTGATTTTCTCCCAGTCTCTGAAAGTCAGAAGTCTGGGGTCCAGCTGGTGCTCTGCAGGAGTCTCGGGAGGCTGAGACATAGGTGTTGGCGCCCTGGTGATGACTCTGGTTCCCAGTTGTGTGTTGGCAGAATTCAGTACCATGGAGTTGTAGGACAGAAGCCGTTTCCTTGTTGGCTGTCGGCTGGGTTCATTCTCAGGCCCTCTGTTTCCTGGCTTGGCAAGTCTTCACGTGTGAACTCTATGGACTCCGCCTCTCTTCCCTTTTTAAGGGCTCATGGGATTTAATTGGGCCCATCCCAATATTCCTGGGTCATCTCTATTTTAAGGTTAGTCTGTTGGTAACCTTTATTCCTTCTGCAAAATCCTTAGACTTTTGCTCAGTACCTTGGCTCCTCCTGCTCTAAGCAAGGAGATGGCCTAACTCCAGAGCACCACTAGTCTGGGAGAACCCCAGTCTCCAGGGAGAGGGGGCCCTGACCTTGTGCCTCTACTTCCCCAGGTTGTTCTTGGTGACCACTGAGCATGCTCTTGGTCCTGGACCCTGGGCTTCAGTCAGATTCCTTCATGGCCTACAGTCTCAAGACACAGGATGCTCTTGCTGAATGTGCTCCAAGGGACTGGCTTGGAGCCAAGGGTAGCCCAGTATAGGAAGCCCAGGGAAGTTTCCCTTTCAGACATATATGTGGATTTGCTCTCATTAGCTTTTTCACAAGGAAGTTACAGCCCATAGGACCCCCTTCCGTCAGCCGGGGCGCCCACCATTGCCCCTCAGGCCCTGGTCCCTAAATAAAACATGCTCCAAACTCTCTTTGCAATAACCTCCCCCTGTCTTCCTCCCCATGGCTGGAACACACCCTCCCACGCTCACTCTGAAGGCCCCTGGCTGCCCTGTGAACCTTGTTCCCTGACCTTGGCAAGTAACTTAAGTCTCTGGTCCTCCTCTGTGAAATGGAGATAAGTCCCATAAATGTGAGGGTAAAATGAAACCATGTATCAGAATCTAGAATATGTTGATTTTCCTGTCCCAGTAGTAACTATTGTTAAACATCTCTTTGGGGCCCCCCCTTCCTGAAGAATGGGAACCCGTGATCCAAAAGCCGTTCACACTACAGTGTATTGTCATCCTGTTTGCCGGTGATTCTCAGGCCCCTGTGATTTTCTCAAGGACAGAGACCAGTCTCTCATCTGTATCAGCAGTTGCCAGCACAGGCCTGCAGGTGGTAATGTATCTGGTAGAGAGCAGAGGGTGGGAAGGTTGGAACTGATGTGCTCTTTTCCCAGGGTTGAGCAGCAGAGCACTTGCCATCCTCCTGTCTAAAGCTGACAGGCCTGGGGTTTGCAGGGAAGTGTTTTGGGGCTTGCAGGAGGAACTCCCAGGGCACACAACTCCTCATGCTTGTAATGAGCTCATTTTACAGATGAGGAAACTGGGGCCCAAGACCATGACTACAGTTCTCTGCTAAACCCCCAGCTACAGACTTTCTGCAGAGCCCTGCTATTGGTCTCACTGACATCCAAGCCTTATCC